CAGTCTCTATGATACTTTCTGTGAGATCTTCACTGTTTGCCACTGAAAATGCGACAACTTGTCTTCAGAGACTCTTGAATTTTCCAGAGAATAAACCTGAAAAAATTTATAGCAATGGCGAAGTCACTGCAAATTCTTGCACTGGGTTCTAAAATCTCATCCTCGTCACCTACATTTGGCGTGGCTTGTAACCGTAGCAAATCTGCAGTCAGTGGTTACACTTCTTCATCTGGTTCAGTTTCTCCAAAAACTCCTCTATCTCTGGTTCCCGGCAGCTACTGGGAAGAAAAGTGGAGAGTACTGCATAAGGCAGAGGAACTAAGGCAAGATAGTTTACACAAACAAGCTCCAAGTGGGAAAAGGAGATGGTCTGAAAAAGTAAAGCTGGTGCTATCTAGAACTGAATCTGACCCATCACCGGCAAGAGCAGAAAAATACAAAAAGGGCCATAGGTCATCTGTTAGGCGTAGTTTACTTGAAGATTTATCTCAGCAACTTGGTTTGGAGGAAGATACCGAAACGGGAGACTGTTTTGATGCTTCCAACTTGGAGGATTGTCATTCTTTAGAAGTTCAGGTGGAGGGACAAAATGATACTAGCATAAATTCTATTTGCACAGCTGAGGAAAAATGTGAGAGTGGAAGTGGAACTACTATTAGTGAAGAAAACTCTATTTTTTCTGACCCTGCAAGTTCTGGTAGTAGCACTAATGACCATGAAAATGACGCAGAAAAAAGTAGCGTTGCATCAAATTTATCTTCAGATGAAAATGATGATTGCCACCAAAGTAACAGAGAATATCCACCTCTGCCGGTTTCCTCTCCTCCCAAAGATGTCCCTTTAAATTATCCGCATGAGAATGAATCTTCAGGGCATATGGTCTCGGCCTTGAAGGAAAGACGGAATCTCTCAGGCAGATTTCAATGGCTTTTTAAGTTTGGGTGGAACAATGTCAGTCAGGAGGCATCTGATAAAGGAGTTATCAACGAGACTGTAAAATCTGCAAATCGTGATAGCCAGAGCAATACAGCAGACTCATCTACTGCTGGTGCTCCGCGTAATTCATCTTCCACCATCCAAAGAGATGTAGTGGACCAGAATGTAATGGGTACGTTGAAGAATCTGGGGCAGTCGATGCTTGAACACATTCAGGTAATATTCTTTTTTTTTTCTAACTGTGCAGAGCTTCAGACTGATGAGGAAAATACTTTAGGTGTTAAAGAATAGTGTGTAAGTAGTCTCCAAATAACAAGCTTTTATAACTTCTCTAAGTGTGAATCTAATGAAAGCATGAAGTTGAAGCCAAGGGAAGTTGCATTACATGTGAAGACATATTGTATACAACTTGATCTGTCTTATGAAGTTTTGTAGATGGATGTTGTAGATTCACCTTGTATGAATATAATGAATCCATAAATCGGAAACGATTTTGAGTTTTAGGGAGTAATGATGTTGGTGGTTTCTTTTGGATTGGGGCAGGCAAGTGATTGTTGATTAGCTTATTTACTTTGATGTGCAGGTACTTGAGTGTGTTTTCCAGCAAGATAGAGTTCAAGTGAGGGACAACTTGTCTAAAAACAATATAGTTGACAAAGGACAAGTTACAGCCATAACAGCTCTCAAAGAACTTCGAAAGATCAGCAACCTTTTATCAGAGATGTGAGATTATTTATTTGAAATCTGTATATACCCTTTGTAGTTACATTGATTTATTAATTCAAAATAAATTAGTTTTGTTGGATCATCTATTTTTTCTTCGAAATAATATTCATATAAGAATATAAAATTTAAAAAAATGAGGAAGAAGACCCTCCTCCTCACCACCAAGCAATGGAAACACAGCCGTCACTGCAATGTCGTGGTCACTGCTACTGCTTGCTACTTCCTCGTTTTATCCCTCCGGCCTGAGATTGCTTCAAGCGAGCGACTGTTGAAGTAGATGCTTTTTCCCAAGGCTTACTCCAACTTTGCCGAATACATTCGTTAATGAATACGAAATCCATTTGGATTTCATGCTATATGATGATATCAATACTGTATTCTTCAAACACTTAAAAGTTTATCTAATCTAATATCTATTTGCTGCAGTTTTCAGAGCATCGCCATTGCTCTCCGCTTTTATTTTTTCCCCTCTTAAAAAATACTTACAAATTTGATTGGGAGTGCCCTTGATGACAATTTCAGTTTTAGTTAAATATTTCTGCTCCCTGCTAATCCTCATGCCCGACCGACGCTCAGCAAACATTGCGGCCCATATATTATCCTCCTCAGCATTGGCTTCACATTTGCCTCATGCTTGTCCATCTTTTATTTCCAACGTAGTTGTAAATGGTGCTATTTCTGGTTAATGAAATCATTACCTCTTTTCCTTCAAAAAGGAAAATCTTTTCTATAAATAATCAAATCTATTTATATAATTTCTCCGGTAAAATTTAATACCCAACCTTAATATAACTTACGATTGGTTATATAAATATTAACATAAGAAAAACTTTACCATTTCATTAGTTTTAAAATATTTTTTTCATAATATGAAAAACAATTAATTCAAATATAAACTTGAAATTAAAAATATGAATAAAAATTCAAGTAATTGAATAACAAATATGTGTATTTCTTCTCTTTATTCGAACTGAATCATACTAAAATTTACCAAATGAAGCTAGTTGTATTCCTTCTCGTCATTCAAACTACATCATGTGACTTAAACTTATCAAATTAAACCAATTTCTTGTTAACGTGTGCTAAAACATAAAAAACAAATAGCACTTCCATCAAACAAAAGATTAATCCTTTTGTATATCATCTTAGTAGCATATATCACGCTAATAATTTTCTTTTTCTTTTTTATCTTTCAATAAGTTGCTTAAGAAAAAGTTTGTTGTGTCACTTGAATGAGACCTTTTTAATTTTCATTTGCTAAGTTTTTTTTTTTTAAATATTGAAAAACATATATATATATATACACACACAAAAAATTGAGCCCTTAATTGGGTGATAGCTAATTGGAGCCTTAATTTGGAGGTTTATATATGGAAATGTGTTCATAAATAAACAAAAACACTGATGGGAATTACCTTCATTCCTTGTTATCTTGTCAAAACACCGAGAATCACTTTCATATCTAATAACAAATTGCACTCAAATTCAGGTCCTTGATTGCTAAGGTCAAAAAGGCAACAACCATATGAGAGGAGCATGTCTTCAAGGATCAAACCGAGTGAAGGCAATGTTGTCGAGGGCACAAGGCACAATCTAGGCAATAAAACCCTTGTATATATCCATGGAAAGCACAATCAAGGCACAAAACAAGCATTCGCCCAAGTCAGGTAAAGCACAATATCCATGTATATATATATATATAGACACACATACGCATTGTTGATGATAAGAAATGGGTTGTGTCAGTTGTTGGTGATTCACCCTTTTTGATTTGGACAGAGTCATTTTCAATGCAAGGGCGACCATTGGCTAATGTTTTTCTATGTTAAGGAGTTGGTCAAAAGGAATAGATAAGAGTTTGTATGGAAATTATGAAAGATTGATCTTGGGGATATTTATAATGACTAATTGATGATGTCAGATATAAGGTCATTATGACTACTCGTAAATTAATATGCTAAGTAGACTTCATCGTCAAATAATGTATTTTGGTCTGACAGATCAAGTGTACTTATCAAAAATCTTATCCATACACTATGGTTAGTCAGGCGGCCATAGTATTCCAATAGTTGGAGGATATATGCTCTTCAAAGGCTCTGAGGTTTATCTGGAAAACTTTGCGGCGGAGACTTGACAGTTTTCAAAAATGATCTTTGGGGATATGAAACAATATCAGGAGAATAATCTACAAAACATGAAACTTTTTTATTGGTCAATATACGTGATTTTCTTATAATCTGTGTTCATTGTTGAATACCCAAATACTAAGAGTTTTATATTATCCCTTTCTTCACTATAAAGGTACATCTAATGAAAAGGTAAAAAAATTAAAGAGAATTTCAATAAAGAGGCTTTTTTTATACCTATCACCTTATAAAAAAAGGCATCAGATGCCTTGACATCACCGAGTAAAGGCTGAAAAAACAGAGGAACATGATCTATGATCATCTAAACACTCGAACAAACAAGTGGGTTTTCAAGCTAACAGTAGGTTGTGCAAGTTAGCTGCAAATATTCATAATCCAAGAAAAAAGGAACAAGTATTGTGCATGAAAATCTTTTATTGATCATGTTACCCAAATGAAGTCGAGGAAATTTATAAGATACAACATGCATTACATCATATTAATTTTATATTTAATGGGATTGGTTGTACTTTTAATTTATTCAGTATTTTAAGACATTCAAACTAATTAGTGATGAACATTCTCATTTATAAAGTACTAGAACCCAGGAGTGGTTAATAAGACCAGCTATTTCAGTTATGGCTTTTGATAAGATCATCCATGGAGTCTGAGTTATTGGCATTTCATAACCAAGTAGAAAGGGTCAGCAAGTTGGGAAGAATTTGAATGTTCTTTAATCTGACATTCTTGAGAAAGCACTGAAAAATTGAACAAAGAAAAGAGAATATAAGGAAAGATCCCTAAGCTTCACATCTAGGACTTTGATTGCATTAGACAATAAAGAATCTAAGGTTCCATCAGAATCACAGTGAACATTGATTGGATCACACAGTCACAATGTGTAACGCTAGAAATTATCCGATAAAAATATCCCACAATAGACGGAGTAAATGGGTTTATACGAAAGCAAAGTCCACATAGGAGTATAAGAAAATTTTACACTACAAATATGAAACAAACCAATATAACTTAAAACAAAATATAATAGGACGAGAAAACCAAAATATGATCCTAAACCCTAATATTAATGTAAAATACAAATAACTCTATACCTATAAAATGTTACAATTCAGCTCCATATATACAACAAAGTAACAAATTAAAATCTTAAGCTGGTTAATCCCTCAAAGTGAAGTAAACAGGACGTCCATGTTACTCAAAGTTATAGAGTATTCAAGATGATAAGTTTACAAAAAGAAACACATTCAAGATGATATTTGTCTAGGAGCTTGGCTGCTAGCTCAGACTGAAAAAGCATTCATGAGCCGTTTTGCTAAGACGCAAGAGTGAGTTGAATATGGATATGCGTCCAATACATGTGCATCTGAAATTTCTAAAGTTTTTCCACAATTTGCTGGGTCAAGGTCTCATCCATTTTGAGACATCAGAGATATATGTCCAGCATGAGTACCTTAGGAAATAGGATAAACCAAAACTACTTCATATACATTCAATATTATAAATAACACGATCCTTCGAACATAAAAAGAAAACAACCAATAGGTGTAAGCAATTTGAGAACCCACGAAGTTAGAAAGCTAACATGTAGCTTGTATGTTCTTCTATACTATTCAATGGTGCTAGTGCTAAGAGGAAATTTTTAGTTGATGTTCAAAGACTAGCATGTTTATGTTATCATGGAGGAATTGTCCGCATAAATTTGGTAAATGAAAAGAAAACTTGGATTTCAATCCCTAATGCACGTTATCATTGCTAAACTCAAGGTAAAAGAAAGCATAAGAAACATGGTGTATTAGTGTTGTATGTTATTTCACTATTCAATATTGCATTCTTGTTCCTTAAATGCAAGCTTCTTGATCTAGCTTCAGCTAGAATAAGATATTAAGCTCATTTCCACCATGGTCGATGAAAATTATGGAACTGGAACACCAGGGCAAACCCAACATAACAATAAGCCATATAAAAGCTCGTAGAGGCAATGACTATTAAGAAAGGAACTAAGTATTTTATTTTGTAAGGTTGTTATATATTATGTATTATTGTATCCTTTTTTTATTACTATAAAGGATTTAGGATATTCTAGATTAGTTAGGCTACAGGAATTAAGGCAACGTCCGGTTTAAGTTGTTGGAAAAACAGAAGGCAATTGAATTAAAAATAGAAATAGGCTACAAAGATAGCTGCCGACATGGGAGTCCACATCCTATGCTAAGAAAACCGGGTTCCAAAAAAACTTGCCTTCATTTTATCTAAAAGGTATACCTCAGCATAGTGCCTCAAAAAAGTCAAGCACATGCACTGTTTAAACCTTCGAATTAACTCACCAAGCTTTAACATCATCCAAGATGAATGTTGTTTGAGGTCTCTGGTATCAAATATCACTAAATATAGGCCTTGCTTTTCATGCCAGCAGCACTCAAAATATATCCAAAAACACAAAGTTGTAGTAGGATCACTAAGTTTCTAAATCCTAAATTGTTAAAACCAATAGGAACCCTTATTCAGTAGAGAAACAACCTAGGTTTCACAGTAACTCTAATGAACTAAATGCCGGTGAGTGGAACATCCTGAATTTTCTTAGAGCTGGTTAGTTTCAACATTAGTATTCCATATAGTAAGAGTAGGACGAATTAAAAATCAAACAACATAACTAAAATAATTCCAAGCTCCATAAACCAACAGGCATTCACTTACAATAACATGAAGAAGGAAAATCATGAAACGTGAAAGCATCCAAATTAGCAGCCCTAACCTTGAGAATGCTTTCATCCATTAATCAATTCTAGCGGTTGCGCTCAGCAGGCAAGGGTCGATTAAACCCGCCTCTTCGATTCATATACTGCCTGGGCTGCCGCTTAGTCACAGCCCTAACTCCACTGACATCAGCTCCAGGTACATGTTTCCCTTTGGTGGAATCAAAACCAACAGGAATCCCAAACTTCTTCATCATCTCCATCTCATCCTCCTCTCGTGCATCCCCATTCTCATTATTAAGGTTCCCTTTCTTTTGCTGTTGCTCTTTAGCAATCTCATCCACAAAATCCGACACTGCCTTTTGCCTATCTTTCTCCCTTTCCTCGCTTTGGTGGCGGTGACGTTTCCTAGGGGGCTCAGCTGATGGTGTTCGGTGCTGGTGCCGGGGATGACGGTGGGAGGAGCGTTCCGGAGAGCGCGTACGAGAACGGGAGCGTGAACGGTACCGCTCACGGTCAGGGGAACGTGTAGAAGAGCGCGTGTGACGAGATCGGATGCGCTCCGGAGTGCGAGATCTCTTGCTGCGCGTCCGTTTCCTGTCTCTGTCTCGCTCTAGGTCGCTGTCGCGAATATCTCTGTCGCGTCTGCGTTCTCTGTCGTGGTCCCTCTCTTGTTGCCTGTCGCGGCCTGACATTGCGGAGGATAGCGGGGGTACACGGAAGAGAAGGCGCACGGTGAGCAAAGGGACTAAGGAAAACTGGAACTGTGATTTTATAAATTCTCCACGGCCAAAACCCTTTGATTTTTAAGTTTTAGCTTTGTGAGCGTCCGAAACAAAACACTTTCATATTTTTTATTTTTTTAACTACTTAAATGATTATCTACCTATGGAGCTGGTGTAGAAATGATTATTATTTTTAAAATTTTATTAATATGACTACTTAACTAATTAATTGAATTTCATATAATAATATATCATTAACATTTGTAAAAATTAATAATAAGATGGCCCTGTTCGTTACTGGTTATGGTTCGAAATCGAGTGATGACTCGTCAATGGTTTCACACATCTTTAATATGACCAAGCAAAATTAGAGTTTGCGGCTTATGTATACACCTCGTGAATGTAATAGAGTAGTGAATGACATAACTAGGTTGAAGTGGAATCGTTCCTTTGGTTTTCATACCTTCCAAGAGCCACTAACTAAGATTGGCGTTGCTTTCTCTGAGGATGCTCGGGCTATGTGCTGCGAATGATAGATTGTAGTCTAGTTTCTTAGTTTTTCTTTCTTTCTTTCAAAAAATAATAATAATATGTTTGGTACATTTATGTTTACAACAAGTTTGTTTATCAACTCGTGTGCTCGTCTCTTTTTTCTTAGTTTTCTATATTTTAGATATTGGTGAAGATATAAAATAAATTGAACATAAAGTGAACTTTGACGTTCAAACTGTGAAACCTAAAGAGCTTAAATACTAATGGAATAATTTCATCATTTTTTGACTGGCAAATAAAAAGGTAAAAAGAGAGCGGAGGTTGTCAAACATTAAACAAACGCTAAACCAATATGTTTGCTAACACTAAACGAATGAGGCTAAGGCAATTGGTTGTTCTATTGGTTCTTTTCCTTCGGTTTATTTAGGCCTACCTCTTGGGGCAAAAAAGAATTCGGAGAAATTATGGGAACCGATTATTGAGAATTTCAATAAGAAATTGGTAGGGTGGAAAGCTTCTTTTTTATATATGTCTAGTAGATTGGTGCTTCTAAAGTCAGTTCTGTCATCCTTACCCATTTTCTTCTTATCTATTTTCAAGATGCCGTGTAAAATTAGCCAGAAGATAAATTCCTTGATGGCGAATTTTTTATGGGGAGGTGGGGTTGAGAAGAAAACAATTCATTGGGTGAGTTGGAAGAATATTTGCAAACCGTTGAGTAGTGGAGGCCTGGGAGTCGTTGATTTGAACCTTACCAATCGTGCTTTGTTGGGAAAATGGGCGTGGAAGTTTGCCAATGAAAAAAATTCGATGTGGAAAAAATTGTTATGTAGCAAACACAATATCAATTGTTATACCATGGATATCAACAAAGTTTTCTCTCATCGGGACTCTTTGTTGAGTTAATCGATTGATGGAATCGACCAAGAGGGGGTGAATTGGCAATTAAAATTTTGGTGGAAGCTTTTGCAGAAAATTGAAAAGATTTGCACAGCGATTTAGAGTGGTTCGACTTTCTCAACCAAAGTCTACGTCCACTACCTTAGCTATCCACACTAAGGAGATTCCAACAAATTCACTAATTTGTTCTTTCTTTTGAGGCCAAAGAGATAACCTTACAACTCCCTCAAGAATATACCCCAATTCTTGAGAACACTCTTTCTCAAAGAGAATATTACAAATTTGCAAACTTACAAGGAAATCCTCACAAGGAAGATTGTTTGCACAATTCTAGAACAAAGAAAAGAACACTAAAAAATGAATACAATTGAGTACAAGTAGTGTTATTGAAAGCAAAATGAATATTGAATGATAAATAGACTTGAAATGATCAAACTTGAGGTTTGATGCTTTCTCTTTGATTCCCTCTTAATTCTTTATTCTTGTTGTTTTTTCTTGTTGATCAATGGCTTCTAAGCTTATTTAAATACTCCTTCAATTGATTCTGAACGTTGGGGATGATTAGTGGAGTCAATATAGTCGTTTAAGTGTGAAAACAATTAATAAAACAGTTGTAAGCGTCTGGTGCATTGATGCATAGGGCTGGTGCATCGGTACACTATGTGTAAAATTCAAATATTTCGACCGTTAGACCCTTAGTGCATCGGTGCACTAAGAGTGCATCAATGCATGGAGTGCATTCGATGTTTCAAACAAGCCAGAGTGCATCAATGCATGGTCTGTGCATCGATGCATAAAATGCATTCGATGTTCAATTTATTCAATGGTGCATCGATGCATAGATTGGTGCATCGGTACACTCCTTTGAAAAATTGATTTTAGGCTCGTTTTTGGTTCGAATTACTTTGTGAAAATTGTTTCAAAAATATATTAAGTATAAAACACAATTTTACACATTTAGTAATGTTTGAAATTGATCTTGAAAGACTTGGAGTAATAATTTGATATTCGATTAATTGAATCGAATATACTTATAAAAATCTTTGTAAAATCTTAAAATTCATTTATATTTAGTTTTTTATATCGAAACATCAAATTAATGTTTTCAACAATATCCCCTTTTTGATATAATAAAACATTTTAGTAATTTTAAGATTTTCTTTGAAAATAAATTTTGAAATCAAGTTTGAAATTACTCCCCATTACTCTAACACCTCTCCCCTTTAACATTTTTACACTTTTCCCCCCTTTTTGTTAAATCAAAAAGACTTTAAAAAGATTTAAACAAGGTTTTTTAAAAATATAGCCATTTGATTATTAATAAATATAGCTTAAGCTGCTAAGATCAAAGATCAAGAGAAAAGTTAGCCATTAGTTTTCATAAACAATATTCATAAACATGTAATGGATAATTGGTCATATATGTCTAATGATGCAAAAATAAGTATTAATATCAAAAATAAAATTCAAGCCAAACATATATATATTAAGATTTAATATCCAAAACAACCAAAACATTAATCCAAACATTCAATCATCCAAAATAAACAATCCAGAAACATCAAAATATATATCAATCCAAGTTTTAAATCCAAGAAAGCATAACAAGGAAAAATCTAATCCATCGGAGGATCGGGAAGAGGAGGAAATCGTGCTTGCATCTCAAGAGAGAGAGCATCCATATGTGCAAGCATCTGTCGTTGAAACTCCATTTGTTGAGCTTCCAAAGTGTCTAAGCAATGATTCATCGCTTCGTTGTTAGTATTCAAATGAGATTCGATGGAAGCAAACCGTATATCAAATGTCTCCAAAAACGAACAGAAATATAGAGGCACTTGATCCTCTTGTGGTGATGGATCCGGTGCATTGTCAGGATCGTCAATATCTCGAAATAATCCTTGAAGCTCGGGATCATCATCATCATCTATAGCCAGTGCCGGAGGAGGAGCACGAGAGGAGCTAGGAGCAGCTAGTGAAGAACTAGCTCCCGGAGTTGGCTTATTGGGTCGAAAGACCCATAGACCAGTTTCCTCGTCCTGTTTCCAATCAGCTTTCTTCAACGAGGTGAGATTGATTTGGTTTTGGAGAGGAATGAGATTGTCAAGAGAGACGTTAAGATCGAGTTTAATAAAAAGGTTACTAAGTAGACACACACATAAACTAAAGTTTCAACATGTTTTGAAGGAATAATGTTTATAGTATCCACTAGCTCACTAAATATGATGTGTGGCAAATTTATTTTGTTCTTATTCTTGATACAGTGCATCCACCATAAATCCCTAGTACGAAGAGTGGAGTACCTACCTCCGGATGGTCTAAACCACCAAGAGATCATCAAATGAAGAAAACGATCGTGATGAGTACGTAAGGTACTGACACTAGCATTAGGGATATAGGAATATGCCACAGTTTATTTCTCATTGTATAAACCATTGTCATCTAACCCAAATTCCTTAACTATAGACTCGGGGTCAATATGAATATATTGTTCTAAAAGATAGGATCTAATTCCTATAATCCCACATTGAGTCTGGTTTTGAATACATACCGCATTAGAGTAGAAAATGCGGACTAACTGATGATAGACAATATGTTTAAGGGAAAATAGTTTATCAAACTTCCATGTTTTGAGAATCGGAAGGTATTCGAAGTCAATATCAATCATGGCTTGAACAGAAGGAATACACTCTTCCCAGATTTTATAAGATTGGAAAGAATTCATGTACATATGGTACAATTCTTCTCTACGACGTTCAAGCATATTAAAACAGGCTCCTATAAGATTTATAGGTTGAGGAGGAACGAGATTAGGAGGAACGGGATTAGAAGGTTGGGTAGAATGACTAGAAGAGGTTCTAGGGCGTTTAGGATTTGACATGGTTTAAGGAATCAGAATAAAGAATGTAACCTGCAATTTGAAAAACACATGTATGTAATTTAATCAATCCCAAAACTCAATTGAGTCCGCAATAATTCAAGGCTCTCTAAACCGAATCCTAATGGGCATAGTTTTTGAAAACTTTTTGAAAATAACATTTAGCGATATCATAATTCATATAGTTTTCATTAAAAAAATTACAATTAAATCAAAACAATGATTTTCGAAATTTTTTTATTTCAAAAATTCAAAGATAACGTTGAAAAATTGCTTGTTTTTGATGAAATTGATTGTAAAATCTAGTTTATAACCATAATATAATCAATGTCCGATATAATATTTATCCTAGAACTAATCAAAACTAGTTCTAAGTTCAAAAATCAATAAAACAGAGGTTTTGAAATATTAACTTGAAAATTTCGGATTTGAGAGGAATGTGATGTTGTTTTGCACGATTTAATGATAATAGCAGGACTTTGAGATGAAATGAGAATGAATTCCGATAAAAAACATTGATTTTGGAGCAATTTTGAGAGTGAGGAGAGGGAGAGGAGCGGCGGTCGAGAGAGAGTTTTAAGATTGTTTTGAGAAAATGAGGAAGAAATAGGGTTTTTATCCAAAAACCCGATGGATGCATCGACGCACATTCAAGGAGTGCATCGGTGCATCTTCATGATGTATCGATGCACGTTCAAAGGGATGCATCGATGCACTGTTAAGGGTATTGATGCATTAAGCACAAAAATGTCAAAAATCCATTTTAAACACTCAAAAATGCTAAATTAATTAGCTCTAGTGGTATTG